GGCAGAGCTCCTGGCTACAGATCCAGAGGTTCCGGGATCGATTCCCGGCCCTGCCAGTATTTGTGAGAAGTAGTGGCTCTGGAACGGGGTCCACTCAGATTCATGAGGATAATTGAGAAGCTACTTGAATGGAAAAGTAGTAGTTCCGGTCTATAATACCGAGATTAACGGCCGTCGGGATCCGTTGCGCTGACCACTCGACACCTTCTGTCCGCTAAAGTAGGCCGGGGCGTGAAGCCAAAGTGCCAAAAATAGTGGAACTATACCTCCACTCCCCATACGTCTTCATGGTTTGGTAAAGATAAAAGGTAGATTTGTCCATGTGCTTAACTAATTAAACACAACACCATGAAGGCGTATGGGGGAATTGATATACAGACCTACATTTTCTTGACCTCGGCATTAGTTAGAGGTTACTAGCATGGGGCTTAATTAATTAAGCACAGGGACAACTTAACCTTACCATATTGCAGTCTGCCTTGCTTTATTCTTTATTTATCAAAACCAAAGTTTATCTTCGCCGGTCACGGTAGCCGAGCGGTCTAAGGCATGTACTGTCTTCGCTCGCTTGGAAACCGGGATCGTGGTTTCGAATCCCACTCAGGGCATGGATGTTTAGTTTGTGTGTGTGCGTTTTTCTGTGTTTGTGTACAGGTAGAGGCCTTGCGCCGAGCTGATCACCCGCCCAAGGAGTCCTACCGAATGTGTAAGATGTAGAAAAACCGAAGTGAACGGAGAAGTTCATGGAGGTAGGCCTAGGTCCACTGGGGCTGTAGTGCCAAGGAAAAAGAAAAGTTTATCTTCTGTTTTGTAAATCAGGAATTGTCACTTCCTTGTAAAATTTTAAAACAATTTGTGTCTTAAATTTGCCATTCAGCCCCCACACCTTCACTGCTCTTCCTGGCTAGATGCAAAGCTCTTATTTAGATCTGGACCCCGAACAAATTAACGCATTGGGCTTGATTGTGTTGTTAGACCCAGCCAACAGACTTTCTGAATGTAACTTTAAATAATCACTATATGGCAAAGTACAGGGCGCATTAAAAAGATAAATCACTATTCGCCCCTGCGAGTTAGGGCGTTGGTTAGGGCGGGTGCCTAATGGAGAAAGTGTGTTATAAAGCTCCACAGTGAAAATAAGATGAGGGGTGAATTAGTTAACTAGTCCGGTCAGTGGCTGTTGTGATTTGTCGCCACGTTACAGCTCAACATCTATGGAAGTAGTGCTTGTGTTATTACGGTAGTAGGCGCAATGTAGCGACTGTTCAGGCGTCCCCCTGCATTACTTTTTCACAGTTCAGAAGCGAAAATTCGATATGTTTTCCAGAACGTTATTAGTGACGGCCTGCATCTGAGGTTAGCCTTGTGTTGCATTGCGAGCGATCCGTATATAAGTGCAAGGAAATATCATTACAGCCGGTACTTCATTTATATACCATGTTTATATTGTGTAGGCCTACTGTTTCACGTCTACAAGATCAGTTAAACTTTATCCTCGTTGTTTGTATCCCCACAGAGCCGGTCTGGAAGACGATCGGCTCTGGGGCCCACCCAACCTCCTATCCAATGGGTACCGTGGGCTCTTTCCCCCGGGGTAAAGCGGCAGGGACGTGCAGCTGACTACTCACCTCCAGCTAGTGCCGAGGTCAAGAAAATGTGGATTTTTCATCCACTCCCTCATTTACCTTCTTGTCATATTGCTTAATTAGTTAAGCACAGGGACAAATTTACCTTTTTACTTTTCATATATTAGGCGTACTGATTAACTGTGGGTAGTGCAGTGCCGTGAACACGTGGTCTGACGCCATGTAGCAGACTGATCCTTCTTGAGAAGGTGATAGTTGCTCAGCCTTTTGTGTTACTGTGTTCACACGAGTCCAACGTTGGTTCATATCCCGCGGCAGATGAATCCAGTGCGAACCCTCCCGTCCAATTCCTTGAAGGCCCATTTTAATATAATCCTAACTACGCCTAGATCTTCCAGGTGGCGTCTTTGCTTCAGGTTTCCCTACCAACATTTATATTCTTTCCCATGCGTGCTATATACCTCGCCCACCTCATTGGCACGATTTGATAATGCTATACACATTGGAGAAGGTTGTAAATTATGAAGCCCTTCATTATGCAGTTTTCTCCAGTGTCCTGTTACTTCCACCCTCTTAGGTCTATACGTCCTTACCTCCTTGTTCTCATATACCCCAGGTCTATGTTCCGTAACAAGGAAGTGAGGGGAGAAAGTTTCCGTTCTGCAGTCCATTCATTGGCCGATCACATTGGCCTAGCGGTCTAAGGCATGAACCGTCTTCGCACGCTCCAACACTGGGATTGTGGGTTCGAATCCCACTCGAGGCATGGATGTATGTGTGTATGTTGTTCTATGTGTAGGCAGCGGCCTTGCGACGGTCTGATCTCCCGTCCAAGGAGTCTTACCGTCTGTGTAACGATTAAGAAACTGAAAAAGTGGCCAAGGTTCACAAGGGCTGTAGAGCCATAGATAGAGAGATAGATAGATAGAGATATAGATATAGATAGATAGATAGACAGACAGACAGTTCATTTATTGATAAATATCGGATTTGGTTCCATGCAGCTTAGCGGTTATATTGGGCTTATTCCAACCAACGTTACGTTCACACAACTTTTTTTCGTCCCCCCCCCCTCCCAGTAGCGGATTTAATCGAAATTCACTGCTTAATTGATAATACGAAACAAAAAGAGACGGATTTTAACTGCCTATATTACTATCAAACTAGAGAATGAGTTTTGAATAATTAGTAGAACAGGACGTGGAGAGACGCGGTCCCAGCCTGTTTGAGGGACTATCCCACCATCTACCTGGAGCGACTGAATAAAACTACAAAATATCTCCGAATAGCCACCCTTTGGACCGAGATTTGAACCTGGAATTTTTTAAATCGAAGCAGGAAACCGCTCAACCACAACCTTCGGTCAACACTGACATGCCCTCAACATGGTACAAAATATATTTTGTGTATTCTATGTAAGGAACTCATGCGTGTTTAAACGTTTTATGCGTATACGAATATTGTCATGTTTTGTCGGACCTCTTTTCCACTTCGAGGGTAATTACGTTTATTACGAGGTGTGTTAAATTTTCCTGCAAGGTCTGGTGAAATGCGGCATTTGCACGGAATATAATGGTTTATCATATGGACGTGGAGCCTAAACCGCCATTTACATCACGGCTCTAGATTTTTTACACGATTTTGTCGTACGTGGTATTTTCCAAAAATGCAGGGTGATCTCAGACCTCTCCTTAAAATGACACGAACCGCATAGAAAACAGAAATATTAGGGGATGGGGACAGAGAAAGATGATCTCATAAACCTCCTGACAAAAATTGGGAGAGGGAACACACAGACAGCAAGGCGATCTCATAAGCCTACTAACAAAAATTAGGGGGGCACACATACAGATGGACAGACACGGAGATACAGACAGATCTTATAAGCTTCCTTTTATTTTCCAAAATAAGGAAAGTAGACCAATAACCACTGATGTGTATCTGTACTTTTATACTCTTATACGAGGGCTATTCGGAAAGTAACCTCAGTTGAGCTGTTAACAAAACAAGCAATGAGAAAGATTTATTATATGCAAAACATACATACATACATACATACATACATACATACATACTTAAGCTACATCTCAACATAGTCACCTCCGGAACTGAGGAGCTTGTCGTATCTGGGAATACGTTTTTGCATGTCGCCGCCTGTAAGTTCAGTCACGTTTTGATACAATTTGCTTTATATGGAATTCCCTGGGCTCTGAATTTTACTCCAACAAAATGAAAACACAACACGTCATGCTGTATATCCAACCCTGCCCTTCAGCCTTTTCCATGCCTTGCACAGCTGTCTCCACTTGTTACTACACGTTTGCTACCAAAACTAGAGAGTTATAACTAATAGACCGATGTCCTGCTGTTCATTATATTATTATTATTATTATTATTATTATTATTATTATTATTGTTGTTGTTGTTGTTGTTAGATTTCTCCATGTTGGCATGGCGCGTCCTGAGGTTACGGATGGAGGAGACGGCCTCCAGATATGGAGGGTAGCTGCGAATATATTGAATAAGCAGTCGTGGGCAGCCGACATGGGGTGGTCCTCAAGTCTGGGGTTGGGCGTGAGGCTAACAACTCCTCACCATAAAAAAATAAGCTTGTTACGAAAGGTCACAAGAAGCCTCGGACCTGGATAAATTCCTTGGATAAACGCCCTAAGCGAAAGGAACTGGATATGACATTTGGTGCTTGGAATGTTAGAAGTACGTGTAGGGCAGGTTCGCAGATAGGATGGGATGGTATAGATTGGATTGATCTGGGTCGGGATAAGGACCAGTGGAGGGCTCTTGTGAACACATTAATGAACCTTCGGATTCCATAAAATGCTGGGAAGTTCTTGAGTAGCTGCACTATTGGCGGCTTCTCGAGAAGGGCTCACCTCCATGAGTTAGTAGATTTTTATTTTTATATGTAGGTATATGTATATTATCTTAGGATGACCGCACATAACTATGTAGTAAAATGTATGGCTTCTGTCTGGACGATTGGCGTTCGATTCCTAGCAAGTTCGAAGTTTTTCTTTCCGTCATGACGTTGAGACTGGATCTGGAGCCACATTTATGGTCTTCCCGATATGTATTTATGTTTATTTTCTTATGGATGAAGCAGCCGTAGCCTGAAAGTTAGTACACTCCAGGTTAGGATTGTCCAGAGCTTTTCCTCTGTTCCCCCCATGCGTATTCCTAACGTGATGCTTTCGAATTGAGAGACCTTTTTCCTGCAGCTTTTCGTTTAACGAAGGACCTTCAAGCATGCTTTTTGTTTCTTAAAATATTGTACATAGTACATTGTTAGGAACGGGAAAATTTCTGCAAATATTTATGAGCCATTTTTACATCTAACACGTGTGAGTATGTATTCACAGTGAAAATACTCAATGCTTCTTTGTTTCCTGTTTCCAGATTTCGGCCCCGTAGTTGAGGAGAACTTCCTGTCTTAACGTAAGTACACTTCTTGTGCCTTGTTCCCGTCGTAAAAACAAGGTTACTGACAAGACTGAGGAATGGTAAATAAATGTAGCCGCTCTGAGATATGTTTTGTTGCTTTCTGTCTAAGCAAATGGTGTAATATTTGTTATAAATACATAAAGCACGTGACAGCCCCGCTGATAAATTTTGAATCCAGCAACGGAGTGTATGACAATTTTTAGAACGTCTTGCCATTGGAGGCTACGCCGTTGCAGTGTTCTGAAATTTTCCGCCATTAATACGTGCGTAATACCAGCATGGCGGTATTCTGAATATCTGAGATGGAAGCGTTTCATAATACACCGTCTAGAAATTTGGTTTGGTACTAAATATTAAAAAAATACGACTTTTATCTTGAGGTCATATTCTTGTAGAATGTGAAGTAGTTAGTTAGTTAGTTATTGGAGAGGGTGGGTTTCCCCATGCACTTAGACCAGTATTGGTCCATTGTGCTTCCCTCTATGATATTCTACCAGTCTCTATACCCTACCGATATTGGTGCGTACCATCAGTCCCGCCGAGCCAGCGAGTTCGGCCTCCACTGGCTTGGTGGTGTCTATAATGCTTCCCCCATCTATCAGAGGCTTTAGAAACTACTGTTGGGCGGGAAACGTCCTTGAATTTGGCTCAGTGACCTCCTTTGGAGATATGAGATTCTTTTACGTGCCGTAAAGCTACGACACGGGACACACGGCTGAAAGTCCCTCCCGGAGGACTTGTTCCCTGAATTTTTCCGCCCTTAAAAATTCGACGACCTCCGCCGGGTTTGAACCCGCGTACCACGAGTCATGAGGTGGGAACGTTACCTCTAGACTACGGAGGCCACTTAGAATATGAAGTAACAGCAGTTCTACAGGGGCTTCTTTTTTTAATGTAGAAAGAAATGTCGATTTCTGGAATGCGTTTAACATTTCGTGTGATTGGGTTGTGTCATCAATGTGCAATAAAATCGGAAATTGCAAACTGTCAGAGCCATCTATGTGGCGGGTATCAGTACCTCGAATTGTGCTATGGGGCATGTGGAGAGATGTGTATCATTCCTTTCATGCTGACCTTTTGACCTGTTACAATCAGGAGCTGATTCCGAAGCACTCCTTCAGACGTTCGGTAAGACTCCCTGAATTGGCCTATCGCAAGGCCTTTACCTGCGCATGACCAGGGCTCTAGAAATACCGTCGCCCCCTCGTCATGCATGAGTTGAGTCTCGTTACAAATACGTATACGCAATATACTAGCTGATTTACCCACCGCTTTCAGGGCTTAATACAAACTTATAATTAGGAAGTGTAGCACATTGAGAGCTGATCACAGGGGCCCCGCGGTCTGAAGCATCAACTGTCTTCTGTCGTTCGGACGCTGGGATCGTGGGTTCGAATCCCACTCAAGGTATGGACGTATGTATGTGTGCGTTTCTTCTGTGTTTGTGTTATTTTGTATGTAGGTAGCGGCCTTGCAACGGCCTGATCGCCTGTCCAAGGAGTTCTACCGACTGTGTATCATTTAGAATTTGAAGAAGTGGCTCACGCTGGTTCATCACTCGCGAATTTCTTATACCCCGAAGATGGAGGCGATACATTCCTTCGAGACGTGTGTTAACAAAATAGTTACACGACGCCACATCCGAAAAGACGGCATTCATTGTAGTCTGTTAAATGTTTAATTTGAATTGCATTGCATGTTGTAAAAAACTGTATGGTTGAAAACAATGATGTTTCAAGAAAAATATGAACATCGTTTATACATTCATGCATGCATAGCACATAGGCCTGCGTATATACGTACCGCGCCTTCAACAGTGTAATCGTTGGTCTCGCTTTGGCACTGTCGTCCATAATTACGTGGCTCCATGATATTCTGGCTAGCTCAAATTGTGGCATGAACAAGGCGCAAAGTTTGTGAAGACGAAAGAACAGTGATAGGAATAAATACATTCTAATGGACTTGCAGGTGATGTAGGTCTATCTCACTGCGTAAATTTGTTAGAGCACACAAAGTCACTGAGTCAGTTAGTAAATTGTAACACAATTCAAGATATCGCATGGTACATTTGTGTAGTATGAATTTACTAGTTAGAGTTTGGTATTAAAATTCGAATTAGTATCACCTAATGCATTTCTCTAGTATGAATTTATTAATACTATATTTCAGCTTTCTGTTGCATTAATGCGTCACTTATAAACATCCACTTTCATCTCAAATGCAACTTCATTTTGGCGTAGTTGGTTGAGGCACTATGCTACAAGCCGGAAGGTCGCGGGTTCAAGTCCCGTTGAGGTCATTGGATATCTTTCAATTGGCCTAATCCTTCCGGCCGCACTATGGCCCTGGGGTCGACTCAGCCTCTAACAGAAATGAGTACCAGGAATATTCTTGTAATATTCTTGGGGGTAAAGGGCGGCCGGCGCGAAGGGCTGACAACCTTGCCGCCATCTATGAGCCGATTGTCTAGAAAATGTGTGAATCTCAACGTCTCACAACCCTATGGGCCTCCACGGCCTATTACATGGATACCTCTGTAAGTCAAGCCGCATTTTAGAAGGAAGTGAATGTGTATGAGTGATAAATTTAGTAGTTGAAATTTGATATTAAAATTCTAGTTGGTATCGCTTGAAATGCTTCATAGTATGAATTTACTATTCAGAATTGGGTGCTGAAGCCCGAATTGCCGGTCAGTCACGTAATTAATCTGCAACATTAGAATTTCTAAGAACAGAGGTTTTATTGTAGTCGAAAAATGTTGGTTTGAGCGCATTAAGTGTGATGGAGCAGGCGTAGATATATCGAAATCCCAAAGATATTTGCTGATAAAATTTCTAAGCTCGAAACGTGATTCAGAGTATAGTGGAGGAGCGCCCAGCGCTTCCTGGACGCAACTGCTGAATTCTTTTTTACAATACAAATCATACTAGATATTCAGTTGAGGTTCCAAATTCCTGATGACGAAATCAGAATTCAGACTTCGAATTGCTCGGTCATAGTGTGTCTCGTTACGCCATTCTTAAGTTGAGCAACCTCGAGTGGGTTTATTTCCCAGAAACGATTTTAATTTTGGTTAAGAAGTCGTGCGTGGTGAGGCGATTCATCGAACTGAATTGACTCGAATTCATGCTTATGTGAAGTTTATCATCAGTTTCCGAATGTCATAGCTACTTGCACATTCGGCCTTAACCAAACGGACGGAACGCCTGCCTCTAACGGCCTTGTGATATCATGGACGTCACCACTGAGCAAAGTTTCTGCGGATGCAGGCGATGATACACTTTGTCCAGAACCTCTCTGAGGATGCGCTATTATCATATAATGACGTAGATCGTTACGTAATCAATTTGGGAACCAGACTCGCCATACCGGACATGCCGTTAAAAATAGAGGCATTTTCTTCCGTTAGGTAGCCTGCTCAAGGTGTGGCATGCCCTAAGAGATGTTTTATACGTTGTACGGGATATATCCTTGCTTGCTTGGAAGGGATGTCAGTGGATGGCCCTCATACCAGCACTCTTGCCTGCTAAAAATTATAAGGTAAAGCTATCCCTGTAACAGGCCGTGGAGGCCCATAGGGTGTTGAGACGTCGAGGCTCCTACATTTTCTAGACAGTCGGCTCACAGATGGCGGTAAGGTTGTCAGCCTTACGCGCCGGCCGCCCTGTACCCCCCAGGAAGGTTCCTGGTACTCAATTCTGTTAGAGGCTAAGTCGGCCCCAGGGCCATAATGCAACTGGAAGGTTAGGTAAATTGAGAAAATGCGTCTCATCGGAAGCGCTCCTGCCTGCTAAGAAAGGTAATTAATTTCCAAAAGTTCCTGGTATCGTTGGAAGTGGATTATCACACTACATGACAAAGAGGCGGTTTTAGTACGTATCTACAGGCACGCATACGTAAGTTAACGTACATGCATTCGTACTCGTATTTACGAGTATACAGCTTTAGAATATTACGTAATTTGGTATGCCGTGAGAAGTTTGAACTGTAGTTTAGTGACCCCACTTGCAGAAGCTTGATCTTGCTTGTCAGCGTTATGAAGCCATGAAGTCACTCATTATGTATATGTTATGGAGAACACCCAGATGTTAGTATGTTGCGCTGAATAATTTATCGCGTTTGCGCGAAAGCTGCGCGTATATTGGATAGCGTTGACTGTACGTAACGGGATATTTCATTGGAGGGTCCAAAATAAATGTTTAATAGGCCTACAGCGTGTACTGCGAAGATTATTTATGGGGATGACGCATCCACAATTGCTTATTTTATAAACGTTTTCTGATCATTGACTTTCCTTTTTTTACTGTAGACAAGTGGGGAAAGACAAGCGATATACAGAGTGTGCAGCATGTATCACGGAGGGATCTTGGAATAATTAGGCGCACTTCTTTCTGTTAATAATTCTATTTTTTCACTGGCTCTAAAGCCCCGTTTGACCCTGGCCTCCGATTTTTCAGTTTCATGATCATTTTACAGACGGTAGGACTCCTTGGACGAGTGATCAGCTCGTCGCAAGGCCTCTCCCTAAATACAGGACAACACAGATACCAAACATCCATGCCTTCTGTGGGATTCGAACCAACGAAGACAGTACATGCTTAGAACGCTTGCCCAACGTGACCGGCTAATGACTCATTATACAAGACGAATTTGTCTGTTGGATATCGAGTCTTGATCAGTGTTCCTTGCTTTATGTGACATTTATAGAATTCACGTGTCTGCGAGTGTGTGTGAGCATATGTGGTTGGAACATCGTGATCCAGTACACCAATTTGCATTATACCTTGTCTTAAGTGAATAGTGTTCCACTGTAGGTCACTCTGCCTCCCAGACTGGTTGAGTCCTGGGTTACTGGCCTAAATGCAAAGGTTATATAACGTCGCGTGAAACGGGAAGACGGTCACGAGAGGTGAATAGACAAGAATTTGGAGAGCAGCTACGGCGATATATTAAAGCAGTCCCCTGGAGAGGCTGATAGATTCACGAGCCGGCAA